TATTTTTTCAATCTATCTGAAGAATATGGTGCTCATCCTGCAGGCCGTACACAAATCGTATATTTCTTCCATCTCAGTGGAAGATTTGTCTGCGGGGCTGGGCAGTACCGGCAGGGCCGGCTCCAGGCACCAGCTTACCTAGCAAGGATCAATTACACTGAGGAACTCTAGTGAGCAGAATTCATGCTCCCATGAGTAAACAAAAGAACAACGATGAGAAATTAACAAATAGGATTGTCTTTATGTTCTGTGTTTGTACAGTGCCTATCACAATGGGGTCCTGGTGCAGGAATGGAGCTCAAATAATAAATAAATGCAACTCAAATAATAAATAAATAATAACAACAGGTTGCCAATGACAGCTTGGCAAGCGAAGCCATCATGTTGCACTAGAAGCTTTGCAAAAATATTTTAAAATGCAGGTAACAAGCAAGTTCCATCATGTATCTTGACAGCATCAGTAAGAGAAAAACAAACATGGGATACAAAGCTGTCCGATGAAACAACTGATAAATTTTACAGAAGTAACAAATCCACTAGATGGCACCCAAGAACAGTATGAGCTTCATTGCTCTGACACTTGATAGAAAGAAAACAGGGGTACAGGTAGTGGATGCCATGTTTCCAGCTCTGTTGAGCAGCCTTTTTAAAAAAAAAAAAAAAAGAGGCAAAAAACCCCTTCACTCTTGAAAATAAGAACAATTATAGACCATAAATCAGTCCCTTCATTAAAAAAACCCTAAAAACCTTCTTAACACCAGTGGGCCACAGAAATCTGAAGGGAAATTTGGCAAATTTGGGGTTTTTTATCCTGAATCTACACAAAATCTGTAGAAAGCTCAGATAATAGGAGGGGAAGGGAAGGGTTTAAAACTCTGCCGGGATTATTTTCCTTTCTACTTCAGCCTTATACTTTGTTTTTAATAAGATACTATGGGGTTTATCTCTGCTATCATTTATCACTCACTCTTCACAAGGAGCCCAAACCTGCTTCTCTTACTCACGCAAACAGTTTGATATACTTCTCCAAAGGCATTGATAGGAGTAAGGGTTACCAGATCGGGACATTTCACACACTATTTGCCAGTGTCTTCACTTGAACTGTATATTATAAACTAGAGGTGGGCCCAAGTTAAGCTCCCAACTGGAACACCTCTGAACTTGGGGAAAGTTCAAATTTAAAGCCAAACTTTGGTGGCTCGGATCCATCTCTGTTGCAATCATAACCAGGATCTGCAGGAAACCAGCAAAAAAATCAGTGATTTCCCTTAAAAAATGCAATTTATGGAGAGAATTGAATTAATGTCATATTCTTTAAAAGTGGTGACACTAATTGACTCCCTTATTAGTAAATCCCAGCAGAGGCAGCAAGGGCTGAATGAGCATGAAGGCTGAACTACCTACTCCTCTCATTATGAAAGGTCAGAGCTGCGGGCGAGAAAGGTGGGTGAGACAGTTCAGGGAAACTTACACTGGCACAGCCTATGGGGTATACGTTCTGTGGAATTTATAAGGAGAAGGACTGAGATGGGCTGGGGTCTCAGCTAATGTGGCCACCTAGGCTCAAGCTGTGGCCACTGGCTTGGAAGCATGATCAGGCCCCAAGCCCTACAGTTGGCAGCACATACTAACAGGGTACACAGGCTGCCTCTTTTTGCAGCAGAAGTAGGGTGCCCTGCGCCTACCAGGGCTTTGGGGGAAGGACATGAGGGTGTTCTTGGACAGCTTTCCAGGAGATTTGTCATTTTTACTGTCTGCGAGCTGAGGTAAATGGTTACCTCCATTTGATTATTTAAGGCTGGTGGCTAGTGACATTAATTTGTTTTCATATTGGTACTAAAGCTGCTGGGTGGTTATTGTAAGTTAATTGCTGTCAAGGCGCTCAAAGCATTTACAAGAGCTTTGTTCGTTAATGTCAAATCTAAAGGAATACAATAAAATAAATACTCTGCTCTAAGGCAGGGGTGTGTGTGTGTCTCTCTCTCTCTCTCTCTCCCTGCTAGGCCAACAGCCTCCCCTCCTCACCCCCACCCAGTGTGATGTGAGAGTTTTGTTCTCTAAATGAAAGCACTGCTTTTGGGTTGTGCATCATCTTTCCTTGCCCACCATCACTCTACTCAGTTGGGATCACCTTTAAACTATACCCATTAGAATTTCCTAAATCATATGAAAAATTCCAAATATATTACTAGATTATAAATTCCCATTCAGTAGTCCTATTCAAGGGATGCATTTACAATGTACTTATTCCACTATTGCATCATGCAACATTACCCACTGAGGGGAAAAACCCAACAACTTGCTAGCTGCTCTACAATACAGATAAAAATATAAGCTTGCAAGATCTACATACACTTACACAACCCGACCACACTATGTAATCCACACATTTTATAACGCCAAACAGAGCAATCCTACCAATTCTCTCCATTAAAATATCTTCCTGCTCCACCAACACATTATACTATGAGAAAACAGACAGGACTCTGACCAGGGCCGGCTCCAAGTTTTTTGCCGCCCCAAGCAAAAAAATTTTCCCGCGCCCTCCCGGCCCTGCCCCAACTCCGCCCCTTCCCCGCCCCATTCCAACTCCTTCCCCAAATCCCCGGCCCCGCCTCCTCCCCTGGGCGCGCCGCATTTCCCCTCCTACCCCTCCCTCCCAGGCTTGCCTGGGAGGGAGGAAGGGAGGATAAGCGGAGCAGCGGTGCTCTTGGGGGAGGAGGTGAGCTGGGGGGGGGGGAGCGGTTCCTCTGCATCCCCCAGGGTTACTTCCTGCGGCCCTCCCTGCACCCCCCACCGCCGCAGCTCACCTCCATGCCGCCTGCTCCCCTGAGCGTGCCACCACCACTCCACTTCTCCCCCCTCCCTCCCAGGCTTGCCGTAAAACAGCTGATTTGCGCGGCAAGCCTAGGAGGGAGAGGGGAGAAGTGGAGTGGTGGAGGCACGCTCAGGGGAGCAGGCGGCACGGAGGTGAGCTGCAGCTGTGGAGGGCAGTTCCTCTGCCCTCACCCAGGGTTACTTCCTGCGGCCCTCCCCGCGCCCCCCACCGCTGCAGCTCACCTCCGCTCAGGGCCGGCTCCCGGCTTTTTGCGCCCCAAGCAAAAAAAAAAAAGGAGCCGGAGTGCTGCCCCTTGGAAAGTGCTGCCCCAAGCACATGCTTGGAGCGTTGGTGCCTAGAGCCAGCCCTGACTCTGACATAACTCAGTGCTTCCTGGCACTATATTCCTTTCAGAATCTTCACTTCGCACTGAACAAATAAATGAAATCAAAAGTATTCATACAACAGCATGGTTCCATTACAGAACAAAATAAAGATTCAATATGCGATGTAAATTTGGTGGGGTTGATGATGAATGATTCTGTGGTAGTAGGGAACTGCCTGGATTCCTAAATTGTTAATTTAGAGAGTTTCTAACATTTTGGGGATTTTAATATTTTATATATATATGTGTGCAGAATACAGAATTTCTGTAAAGAAAGCATAATGATGTTTCTTGGCTGTTAATTGGATACCACTGAAAGAAATTCTCAATGTGAACTCTCTTTTAATTAAGTGGGGGAATATACCGAGATATCTTCTTGACACAACATCTGCACATTACCAATGTTTTAAAGAAACTAAACATGATGTCTGTCTGTCAGACTGAGGTCTAAATCATGCTCTTAAGTAAGGAATTTATTTTCAAATCTAAAATCAGAGAGGCCTTTAACAGGAAAACTATGGCCCAGCTTTTTAAAGTTATTTAGGTGTTGCTGCACTCAGCATCACAACATTTAACTGATTTAGGAGCCTAAATCTCATTTTCAAAAGGCATCTAGGAGTCTAAACTGCACTGGCAGTCAATGGGATTTAGACTGCTGAGTACCTAGATGCCTCTTGAAAATGATATTTAAGCTCCTAAATCGCGTAGGCATTGCCATGCTGAGCACAGCAACACCTTTAAAAATTTGTGCCGACGTGACTAAATTCTTTCACACTTGAATTTTTATATAAAGTACAATATTAATAATTGCTTTCCAAGAGATAATTATAAATACTTTGTATTTCTACTTTCCTGTTACATATAAAAATATGGTAGGATAAACATACTGAAAAATGTAAAACCAATTTTTGGGCCACATTGTGATACCCCCTTCCTTGTGGTTGGTGGTAACTTATTCATCAAATACTCACTGACTTCAGTGGGGTGTCATGTGGAGAAAGGTACTATAGAATATTGCAATCCAGCACTTTACAAAAAGGAATGTAACATCTCTTCTCCTCCTCCCATTTTGTCTACTTCGACCCTTATCCTGTCAAAATTTATGCACATGCTTAACTGTTTGCAGGATCCTGATTCAACAAAGCACTTAAACACATACTTAATTTCATGCAGATGCTTAAGTTCAATTGAAGTAAAAAATCCCATTGAAGTCAGTGGGACTTAAGCAAGTGCTTAAGTGCTTTGCTAGGTAAGGGCCATGTGTAGTGTCACTGACTTCAACGAAACTACTCAGGAGCATGACATTAGGCACACTTGCAAGTCCTTGCAGGAGCTGACTTATAGGTATGCGAAACACTTACCACCTGTTTGGAGACTCTATATAGGAATAATAAACCAGAGAAAGAATACAATGAATAGCAAACTAGAGCTTTAGTTTGAGAATTGCACTTACAATATTCTAGTAACAGCAAAGTACAGGTCTATTGTATCTCCCCATTTTTGCTGGTAAAAATTTGCACATGTGACTAGTAGCCTGTGTGATATTCAGAGCACAGAAATTGATGTTCACTTCCCAGTTTTCAGCTATTTATACTACATTCCAGCCAACAACATGAAAACTAGGCCCGCTCGAGGAAGTGGACTACTCTTGTTTCTTTCAGGTTATGTGTTCTGTTCTACATTGGATGCTAGACTGCTACACAGGATTGTTATAGGCAAACCATTAGTTGTATCTTCTATTACTTCGTAGAATTTTAAATTGCTGTGTTTTAAAATGAAGACTGAATTATTGCTTACCCAAAAGGTATTTTGCTGAGGACATAATATGCCGTATACGAATGCTGATACACCTGCAAAATGAAATTTAAAAGAAAACAAGATTAGTAATGTAATCTATGTTAATGGGGCTCTTATCAATGCAAAGTCTAGCATTTTATGGCAAGGGAGCTGTTATGAATACTTTGTAATCTGTACTGGAAAGGAACGATAAATTAATTCACCTAATGGTGATGTGTGATATTCATCTCACACCTTGTTAAAATGTTTGGCAAACTGTCTCCATCCAGATGCTCTGTGTTGTTGCCATGGCTACCAGGTCTTTGACTAAGGTAGGGGTACATGCTCCCAGCAATGGCTAAATATAGAACAATCATTAATGAGGACACCTTGGTCAGTTGGAGACAGGCTACATGGTTATAACAAGACACAGCAGGGATATAGTATATACTCCCTGTTTTATTCCTCCATAAATCAAGCAGGGAATAAAACTCACTAATGTCAGTGAATGCTGCAGCATCCTTTCGTAGCCATCAGAGGAAAGCTGACTGACTTTGGGCTCAGCAATGACTTAAGGTCTGTTTGACCCTGAGAGATGCTAACTCTCATTAACTTTTCTGGGTGGTGAGGGCACATTAAAAAGTCAACATTTACCCACATAGACCACTCCATAGCATCTGGAATACCATTCTGATTTCAATGTCTAGTTTATTTGGCTCCCACCATTGCTTGTAAAGCACTTGAACTTTGTCGTAGGTTGATGGAGAGGGACCTCTTGAATAGTAGAGCCCTGTATACATACACAACATCACTGTATTCTCTCCAGGAGTTACCTATTATCTTGTACAAAATTTCCTGAGTATTCCCACAGACCAACAGCTACCCTTAAGGGTGATAGAAGCCTTGATGTGACCATAACACAAACCTATTGCTATCCTCATGCGCTAACTAACAATCTGCTTGATTGTGATGCCAGAGCCAGGGCCACAGAACACAAGACGATGCTATAGAATTGAGGAGAAGCAATGGCAGAAATCAGTTTAAAAACTGGCTGCAGTATCTAGCTGCTTCCCTTCCCTTTCTTCTTTATCCTGCTCCTTGTTTTGTTCACGTTGTAGACAGTGATTAATGGGACAAAGTCAGGTAGGTTAGGGCAAAGGGGTAGGTTTCATTATATACATTACAAAATAGATAGTAAAACAATAATAATCATAGAAGAGCTTTGTGAAATTTGTAAAAGTGAAAGTGTGAGGGCTAACATCTTGCTTAACCCAACAGGGATTGAACCGGAGACCTCCAGAGCTGATATGAGGATTTGCTACAGCTTGAGCTAGCCTGATGCACGTGGCTTTAACAGACCCACCTCTTCTGTGGATTGGGCAGAGAGGGAAACCTAATACACACTGATTACTGGATTACCAACACAGCCACTCCTTTGTAGCAACTGCAACCCAAACATTGCAGCCTTGTGCTAGTGCATGAAAGCCAGTGAATAAAAGGGGGAAGCAGCCATCAGAGTGTACAGGGAGCCGTCTCCCAAAAGCTGGAGGTATGACACCGGACCAATATCTAATTGCTTATAGATGGCAATCTGCACCTTCTGTCTCTGTTCATTCATTCCTTTACAGACACAAACTCCTTCAGGGAGTATCACAAAATCACATCCTATTAATGTGTGTTAGGATTCTGCGTCTCTGATTTACTTGACAGATATGCAAAATCACTTGTAGCTTAGACAACTACCTCATGACTACACACCTGAGAAGGCTCAGGAATGCAAATGATTTTGCTGCAGGTTCGCATTTATTTATGCTGAACATGTCCCCTCCACCCGTCTGAGATGGTGCAATGCTAATTAGTGTTGTATTTCCCTCCCAGTCCTTAATTCCATTAAGTTTGCTGAGGTCTCCTCAGAGGTCACAAAGTTTAAACTTGGAGAGCTGCAGTGTGAATCTGAAGGTAGCATAGGTCCCTAGGTTTTACTTTAGTGTTACTGAAGTTATAAAGCTGTTATGATTCCCCAAAGGGAAAGAATGTGAATAGCGAATCCTGAATACAAAGGAGAAACGCTGCATGGAGCCATACAGTAAAATCCTGGCACAGCTAAGCTAGAAAGCATTTTGGAAATGTCCTGGAAGATTTTTCATGTGAAGTCAGACCAAACTGTCCTCAAAATAATTCCCTTCATACCTGTATTTAAAACTACCAGGGTCCATAAATACTGAGCACCGTTCATCTTTAAAATGCCTCGGAAACACTAAATACTCCTCCAAATCCTCTAGGAGGGGAAAAAATGGGGCAGACAGGTTAAGTTCAGTACTAGAACATAACCCTCTTGCTTATTAACACAGGCAGGTTTTCAAACAGGACAGGACTATCCCATGTATCTGAAGACAGTTGAAGTACCAGTATGAGCACTGTCAGGCTCACACAAAGGAGGAGGAGAGGAGAGGACAAATGGAGCGGGCAGACAAACAGCTAGGGCAACTGCTGGGAAAGGCATTGGCTAGTGCTTTTTCCTGTGGTTACTACAGAATACAGGCAGCCATGTTAGAGGGAGCAACGCTACAGCAATTAGCAGTGTCTGAGGCACAGAGGTTGTTAAAAGAACAGGAGTACTTGTGGCACCTTAGAGACTAACAAATTTGTTTCCACTCCATACGGCTAAATGCAGTGCCTTGCATAATGACAGGTTTCAGAGTAGCAGCCGTGTTAGTCTGTATCCGCAAAAAGAACAGGAGTACTTGTGGCACCTTAGAGACTAACAAATTTATTTCCACTCCATACGGCTAAATGCAGGTGCCACAAGTACTCCTGTTCTTTTTGCGGATACAGACTAACACGGCTGCTACTCTGAAACCAGAGGTTGTTAAGTGCAGAGAGAGACAGAGATTGAGAGAGTAAACTGGATGGGGTGGGGGAAAATGGGAGTGGAAGGGAGCTCGTACGGGAGCAGCAGAAAGGGAAGAGCCTGCGCCTCGCAGAGGGCCAAATGGCCAAGCTTGCTCCTTCTGTGAGGACCACTTTATTATCTGATTGTCATCACACCCCCACTCAGGTCTGAGACCAACCCTTACAGATGCACACAGGATCTTCTTTCATTAAAGAGAGAGACCAATCTCTCTCTGTCTTATGAGTCTACCATGTTACATTGGCTTTACCTGTGGTGTGCTCTCTCCGAAGGGGACTTGCCTACAAAGCTCACTCATGGCAGCAACTGTTGCTCATGTGAGCCATCCCATTGAATCCCTGATATCAAAGGACTAGTTACAAGAGTAAAGTTTGCAGGAACAGGTCCTAATTGTGCTACTTCACTTTTTATTCTTAATAGATCATGGGCCCAATGGCCCTTGTTACTCCCACTGTCCCATACTTGCTTAGATTACACATGGGTAGGCATATTCCTAAAATAGAAAGGGATGCAAAAGAGACAGAATATAATACCTTGGTGCAATATGAAATAGCTGCATCTTTCTTTGGTATGAGAATCAGAACTAAATTAGTCCAAAGTCCTGAGAGAATGGCTAGAGTTATCTAATATCTCCATGGAAATTTCTGTTGATTTTTCATGGAATTTGGAGCAATTTTCTTATTTACCTGCCAAAATGTCTCCCACAGGGCAAAACACCGGACAGAGCGACCAGGAATCAAAGACTCAGGCTTTGAGGCTGGCCAACTCTTAAAAGTTATTTCCTATGTGTTCAAATTACATGTTCCAATAAATGAACAACTGAAGAATTTCTGATAAGTATCAGACTTTCCTAACAGCATGGACACGAGGGAACCCTCTCCCCTCCAGTGGTCAGTTCACTTCTCCATTCACACAAGTTGGCTAAACTTTGACTTAGAGGGACAGTATGGTTTAGTGAGGTGAGTGACAAAGGGAGAGCCAGGAACTCATTAGTTTTAATCCCAGCTGTGCCAAAGACTCACTTGGTGGCTTCTGGTAAATCATTAAATCTCTCTGTCTCTCAGGTTCTGCACCAATACAAGGAGAAGAGGGGAAGAGGCAGGGCTGGCTCTAACTTTTTTGCCGCCCCAGGCAAAAAAGAAGAGCACCGCCCACCGTAACACCCCCCCCCCCCCCCCCCCCCCCCCCCCCCCCCCCCCCCCCCCCCAACCCCCCCCCCCGAGCGCCGGGCCGGGCCGCCCAAACCCCCGCCCCCCCTGAGCGCCGCGCCAGGCCGCCCAAACCCCTGCCCCCCCGAGCGCAGCCCAAACCCCCGGAGCGCCGGGCCGCACCGCCAAAGACCCCGCCTGGGCCGTCGAAACACCCCCCGCGCTGCCCGGCCAAAACAAACAAACAAACAAAAAAAACCTCGAGCATCGCCCCGCCGAACAAAAAAAAAACAAAAAACAAAACCACCGTGAACGCCCCCCGCCACCCCAACATTGGCTGCCCTTTCTAAGGTGCCGCCCCAAGCACGTGCTTGGTCGGCTGGTGCCTGGAGCCGGCCCTGGGAAGAGGGAAGATAATGCTACTTATCTGCTTCCCTGGGGCATTGTGAGGAGTTGCACAGCTTTGGAGCTCTTGGCCCTGATTCTTGCCTAAACCCAAGCAGCTTGCAGCACAACCAAGGATGGGGTGTGTGAAAAGGGCTTGGTTTGAAGCAACCTCATTTTACTCCCTAGATCCTGGGCTGGATATGTGCCAGGCCATTTCCCAAGTGTAAGTAGAGCAGGCTTAGGACTGCTCTACATTACATTTGCTGCCAGTGAGCCCAAGGAGGATCAGGCGACAGAAAATCCTCAGCCATGTTCCCTATGCCAGCTGCAGGTGGCATAGAAGTCACTGTGCCAAACCTATGCCATCAAAGGATCTCCTTCTATTGGGCTGATCATCCTGTGGCCAGCTACATAGGTCTTGCCACTTCTCATCCACATTATCCACAGCAACAGTCGCATGCCTTCTTCGCAATGGTACCAAATGACAAGACAGATTCAGTACCTATGAGCCTGAAAGGCAATTATTTTATGTAAAATTCAGAGATGTACAGATCTGACTAACTGCTGCCCTGAAACCATTGACTTCATTTCAAACATGCATCCACCCAAGAGTAGAACTGGGTCCTGA